ACCTCTGCAAGTACTAGGCGGTTTGTGTTCACCCAAGCATTGCAGCATGGGGAGGCTTTCCTATTTTTATAAAGTTTCCAAAAGAAGGGTGTATTTGGAAATATCTTTCCACATTCTTATCGCTTCTTTCTCGTCTAGTGGAAGTTTGTCAGACTGTAGATAACATAGTATGAGTGACATTCAACTATTTTTTTGGGACAACTCGATGAAGTACAAATTGTCTTCCTCGATGTATAGGAGGCAATAGCCTCCTAGTTAACTGTTCTATTGAACCTTGCTATCTTTGATGTAGCTAGCTTGGACACAAGGTGTGCTCGAAAGTTTTGATCACGGGGGACATGTTCTATTTTAAAGAGGTGAAACAAGAGAATAAATTCCATATCTTTTGTAGATATCTTATTAGTTGTGGCTCCTTGGCTTGGCACCACACATAGACTTGGTTGGTGATCAGCTGAAAGTCACTTTTGGCCTTTAATTTGAAGGTTCCCATTTCTAAGGTGAGGATCATTCTAGTACTGAAAGCTTAGTACTCCGTATGGTTGTTGCTAGCAGAGAACTCATATTTTAATGTCTTCTTGATGAATATATCACCAAGTCTTTCTAGGAGTATCCCAACACTACTTCCTTTTATGTTAGATGAGCCATCCACATATAGTTCCCACACTAGAGGTGTTTCCTCGCCTACGGGTGAGCTAAACTCTACATGAAGTCTTCTAGAGTTTGTGATTTAATGCTTTCCTTGGGAAGTACTGGATGTTAGATTCCAAGAGTTCTATTGCCCAGGATACCATCCTTCCTACTAAATAGGGTTTCTTAAAGACTTAATGAACATGGTAGTTGGTTTTTACTACGATCTTGTGACCCTTAAAGTATTGTCTCAATTTCCTCATCATGAAGACAGTTAGTGCCATTTTCTTGACATTCTGATGTCACGATTCGGTGCACCTGAACACCTTTCTTATGAAATACACAAGTTTCTCCGCCCTGTGTATTTCATGGACAAAGACTGGGCTCATCACCTGACTTGTGACTGAGATATAAAAGAGTGACAATAACTCATCTCTCGGGAGAGTCGGGATGAGAGTGAAGTGAGGAAGTTCTGCACCTTAGTGAAAGCCTCCTTGCATTTAGATATCCATTAAAATATTTTCATTATTCTTTAAGGAAGCGAAAAAGAGAAAGGCTTTGTTGCTTGAGCATGATAGGAAACGAGACAAGGTGGCGATACGACTTATAAGTGATGTACTTCCTTTACATTAGTTGGATTCCTCATGGTAATATATGCTTGGCACTTATCTGGGTTAGCCTTGATACCCCTATGTGTCAACATGAAACCTGGGATATTTCCAACCTGAACCCCCAAAGTAACACTTAACGGGGTTTAGGCGCATGTCATATTTCTTGACTGACTGCAGGACATCCTCCAAGTCTTTTGCCTGGTTGTGCCTTTGATAGTCTTAACTATCATGTCGTCAATGTAGACCTCCAGGATCCACCTTATATGGTGGGCGAAGATAACATCTATGAACTGCTAGTAGGTGGTGCCAACATTCTTGAGAATGAATGATGTTGTAGTAGTAGTTGCCAGTATTTGACATGAAGGCTATTTTGGGTACATCTCGGAGGTTCATTCAAATCTGGTTGTACCCTGAGTATGAATCCATGAAGCTCAATGTGTGGTAGAATGATGACTCATCAATGAGGCATGTCTAATAACGGGAATGGGTCTTAAGGACATGCGGCATTCAGATTGATGAAAACCACGCACATGCGCCACTTGTTGTTAGCCTTCCTTACTAGAAGCACATTTTCAGCCATATGGGATTTTTTTTATGTGATGAATCCAACATCGAATAGTTTTCCCACCCCTTCATCTACGGCGGATCTCTTTTCCTCGCCTACTTTCAATTTCCTTTGTGCCACTAGTTTGGTAGAAGGGTGGATGGTGAGGCGTTGACATGCTACTTTAGTGTCTATCCCTGATATGGAGGGAGCCCAAGAGAACAGGTCGACATTCTTAATAAGTTGGTTGACTGGTTCCCGTTCATCCTCTATGTACAATGAGGTACCTATCTTTGTCACCTGGTAGGCATGAAGACCTATTTGTACCTCTTTCAGATCTTCTATGGGCATGAGCCTTTCTGCTTCTATGCCTAGTTAGGGGTCCCAACACTCGAAACCAGTGTTTGGAACTTCGGAAGGAGGGAGATCAACAAGGGAGAGCTATTCTTTGGTTGTCTCCAGGCTACTTTGGTAGCACTTTCGATCTACTTTTTTGGTTCCTTCATATTGTATTGACTCGCCCATTAGGAAGCAATTATTTTAAGGTCAGGTACATAATGGATACGACTACCCCTAGGGCGTTGATAAACAATCTCCCTAGAATGATATTATACGCTAATATGATGCCTACAATGAGATAACTGACGTTAATCGCCTTGGCTTGCGATTCCTCTCCATACATGGTTTCCAGGGTTACATGGACTATTATTTGTACTTGTTCGCCTAATAACCCCATCAAAGAACCACCAAACATTTTTATGTTGTTCGGGCCAAGTTGCAGCTTTTGGTAGGCGTCTGAGAAAAGGACGCCAGCATAGCTATAAAGATCTATCAAGATACGCTTGATATCCCAATTGCCATGTTGCACCGTGATGGAAAAGGATCATCGTTTTGAGGGTTGATGCCAAGGGCATCCTCCTCGGAGAAGATGATGTTAAACCTTGTTTTCTATTGAGAGCTTTTGGGGAAACCATGGAATATTACATTTTTTACAAACACCCGCCTTGCGCACTTCTTTTGGGAGGATCTGAAGTTTCTTCTATTAGAGAAACCTCCGAATATGGTTTTTGTGTTGTAATTTAGGCTTTTGTCAGCCATTCTCGTAGGGAAATATGAAGGGAGATAAAGTAGGAGTGTGGCCCAAGTTAGTTTTACCAGGACCCCATGGTGGACATCATTGTACTGGTCAAAAGTTACAGGTGTGTGTGTTCCTCCTGCAATGGCAGGGGGATTCATAGCCCTTAGTAGCTGTATAATAATTTAGGATGGTTAGGGCTTGCCCATGATGACGAGAAGCTTCCAATGATGGTGTTTTACGGTGGTTTTAGGAGTTCTGCTCACGTGAGGTGAGAGACTATGTAGATGGAAGATATGCTTGTACTAAGCGTGTAAGAAGTATGATCAATATGCATTGTGATCTGGATACACGCTATGCTTAGGGTGTAATGAGTTGTCCTCCCCCCACGAGTGAGGTGTATTTATAGAGGCTTTAAAGGCCCAAGGTTCTCTTGGGAAGGGTCACCACCCACTCAGTCAATGTTGGATCGTTGAATACTTATTTTCAAAGGGGTTGTGGGCCAGTTAATGACCCTAAGTTCTCTCTTTCCTAAGAACGTCTTTTTCCACACTTCCCATGACTGGACGAAGGAAGACCTTAGAGGTGGGGCGATACCTCCCTTTGAGAGACATGTCATTGTGGCCTCACTTTGGGAGTCCTCTAACCATTTCCCTAGTAAAATCCTTTTACAGATATAACAATACAAGTTTTTTCCTAAGATCAAATTCAATGAATAACTTGTTATTGCTTGCCATATGATTCGAGCATCTCATATCAAGACACCAAGTCATAGAATCCATTGCTTATTGAGTCGTTCATAACCAATTGTTCAAAGTTAAAACTAGAGCCTTTTTATGCCAAACTTGCTTCTTCTTAACTCTTTTAAGACTTGTTTCCTTTTCTAGGCTAGCATTCATCAAACATAGTGCCTAAATATTGTAACATTGAATCTTCTTCTTTTCAAAAGGCTTCTTGTTTTAATTTTTATCATTCCCATCCTTTTCCGTGAGAGGATTCAATTTTCTCTTTATGTTTGGAGTTTCCTTTCCAATGGTTTTGTTCCTTATTAATTTTTTGCTCCGCTCTTCTTGAATTGAGCAAGACAAACTTTTTCTTCTTCTTTATTAGTGTTTCTTTTCTTCTTCTTTATTAGTGTTTCTTTCAATAACATTCAACTCATAGACTTCAAGAGTGCTCTGCATGCGTTTAATCTTGATTTCGCTCAATTATTTTTGTTTATTTAATTGTCACCACAGTAAGATCAAATTTTGTGGTTACTGTTCTCAACACCTCAATTACTATCCAATTTGTCATGGAATCTCCATCGTTCTTTATTTGGTTGGTGACTCTCACCAACCTTGTGAAGTAGTCATCTAACTTCTCACCATTTGTTATCTCCATCAACTCAAATTGTTTTCTCAAGGTATGAAGCTTTACTTTCTTGACCACTTATTACTAGAGGTGGCAATGAAATTCATTTATATAATATCCATCCAATTCATCCAATAATTTATCCATCCAATCCATCCATAAGACAAAAAATAATTTAATGGATTTGATCCAATCCATCCACTAACTCATATGGATGGATTCAATCCATCCATCTCATTTTATAAATCCATTGGATATTATGTTGTCACTTATTAAATTAAGAATTTTTAAATTAATTTTTTGGATGGATGGATGGATATCCATCCATTAGAAATATGTTAATGGATGGATTGGATGAATTTTATCTTTTAATGGATGGATTGGATTGAATTTTTATTGAGAGTTTAGTGGATTGTTAATGGATTAATGGATTGCTTTGATCCATCCATTAACAATTCAATCCATATTCATCCAATCCATCCATTTTGCCACCCCTACTTATTACTACCTACTATAGTTCTTCATAAGATCTTTCACACTCTTACAACTAACAAACTAACTAACCTTTAGCAATCTAACAATTAACAAACTAATAACAGCTTGTGATATCAAACTACTAACTGTTTGATTAGTTTGAATTACAAACTAACCATGTCTAATACCATATGGGATGGAACCTCAGTGTTTATACTTTATAAACAGATAGTAGGATATGAAGTTATGCATCTTACATATTGATTATCTGTACAAATGAATAAATACATAGGCTCTACAAGAACAGAATGCTAAGCTACCAATAGTCCATACAAGAACACAAACCATTATCAAAATGGTGAAACCGTTTCCTATCTCTAATTATTATCCTACGCTCATAAACTTTCGAGATTAATTTCATCGATGAATGACAATCTTCACAAATTCTCAAGTTTTTCACAATCTGAAGTGTTGTCTTTGGTGATGTACTAATTAATCCAAATGCAACTGCAATCTTCTCACTATGATAGTGCAACAAAGTTTCTTTATGTTTCTCATCCATCTTAAGCAACACTTGTGTAGTATCTTGCACATGACCTACCAAGCTCAACTTGTTTGAAATTTCCGTCAACATCGAGTGTATTTCTTTGGCTCTAGGATGAGAATCGTCCTCCACAAGAAACTCGTGTATAACACCATCAATTTCAATCCAACTACATCCAGGGTCTTTTCTTATATCCAACTCTTTCATCATCAGTCTCACCTCCGCCACTCCATCCCAATTTCCCGCCGAGGCATACAAGTTCGAGAGAGCCACATATGCCCCACTATCATGAGGAGCAAGTTTCATTAAAACCTCAGCCGCATGTCTACCAATTTCGACGTTTTTATGCATCTTACAAGCACCGAGCAAGGCCTTCCATATGACATCATCGGGTCTTATTGGCATATTCGTGATAAGCTCCTCGGCCTCTTTTAGATAACCAGCACGTCCTAGGAGGTCAACCATGCATCCATAGTGTTCTATTCTAGGCTCTAATCCAACCCTATTAACCATGTCATTGAAAATTGATCGCCCCTTTTCGACTAAACCAGCATGGCTACAAGCACTCAAGATTGCTATGTAAGTAACATCACTAGGTGATACTCCACTGCTCTTCATCCTCGAAAAACTATCCAACACATCTTTGGCTTTACCATGCATTGCAAGACCGCCAATGATAGCATTCCAAGCGATAACATTAGTTTTTGACAGCCTCTCGAAGACCTGAATAGCCTTCTCAATGCTCCCACATTTAGCATACATATCAACAAGAGCAGAACCAAGAACCTCATCAATCCGAACACCATTCCTCTCAGCATACAAATGCACCCATTTCCCTAACTCAAGTGCTCCAAGCCGTGAAATCGCAGGCAACACACTAACCAAAGTCACCCGATTTGGCAACACATCTCCCATCTCCATCATCCTATGAAAAAGGTCAACTGCCTCCATAAAAAACCCATTTTGAGCATACCCAGAAATCATCGCATTCCAAGAAACCACACTTCTCTCGACCATTTTATCAAACAACTCCCTAGCAGCATCAATCTTCCCAATTTTTACATACCCATCAATCATAACATTACACAGAACAACATTACCCTCTTGCCTCCTTTTACCTCTCACTACCATTTCATTACCATCACTCACACAATCAACACTCCTCCGAAACAAAACACCAGCATCCTCAGTACTCCCACACATGACATACATCCTAAGCAAATTACTAACAACAAATTCATCATCAACAAACCCCAACTTAACAACCAACCCATGAACCTGTTTCCCTTCTTCCAACCCAGCAACAACCGAACAAGCCTTCAAAACAGAAGGAAAAGTGAATCCATTAGGCTCCACAACTCCATCAGACAGCATCTTACAAAAAATCAACAAGGCATTATCAGCATTACTGCTGCTATCAGCAAGTGCCCTTATGACAGTGTTCCAAGCAAAGCAATTTGGTTGGGACATTTGGTCGAACAGAGAGAGTGCGTAAATTGGGTCACGAAAATCTGAGGTTGCTGAGAGTTTGAGAAGCTCTGTTGATACTGTTGGGTCATTTGTTTTGTTTGTTTTGATGAAAATGGCGTGAAGTTGCTTCAATTGTTGGAGGGTTTTGCAGTTTTTGATTTGTGGGATGAGATGTTGTGGATGATGGTAAGGTGTTGTTTGGGGTTTTAGCATTGGATTATTCATTTTGGGGAAGAAAAGAGAAAATAGAAAAAGAGAGAAGAAATTTGCGGATGATGATAATGGTAGAATAGATCATTAATGTAAGAGAAATGTGTGGATAATTCATGGACATTTTTGTGTTTGAAATTGTAAAAAAATAGGATAATTTATTGAGTTTATAAACTAATAAATTAGTTTTTCAATTATAAAGTTGAAATATTTAATGCCTAATACCTTTTTGTCATCTATCACTCCTATCAATGATTCTAGAGTCTATTTTTTTTCTCTTTTTTTTTAAACTTTTAAGTTGGTCCCTTACGTTACCTAACGGAATCAAAGTGATCCTTTCTATCAAAAAATAGGTAACAGTGTTAATTTTGATGATGTGGAAGCTGAGGTGAATGGGTGAGTTGTCTATTCATCACCTTCTTTCTTGTTGCTGAAACATTTTTCTATTTCTCCCCCAAATTCAACCCTAAAGCAAAATTCTTCCCAAAATCCCCTAATTGAAACCTAAATCATAATCTAATCATGAGTTCTATGCGTGGTTCGTCATCATCATCTAGAAACCGAAGTGAATCGCAAGTCTTTAGCAGCTCTAATCTTTCATGAAAGCCTCTATGTCGTTGTGGAGACAATGTTATACTTCGTAAGGCAAGAACTGTCAACAATTATGGAAAGCTTTTTTGGGGTTGTCGGCATTTTAAGGTAAGGTTTAGTCTGAATAAGATAAGTTGAATGTTGTTGAAATGTCTATGTAATTCATTACAATTTGCGTTCTCAATCTCTACAGGAATATAATAATGCTGGTTGTGGATTTTTTTGAATGGTTCTATAAAGAAGTTAGAGGTGAAAAGGAGCAAACCTTGATGAAGAATCAATGGAAGATAGATGTGCTTAGTCAAGAGATGGAAGAAGCCAACAAAGAAGTTGAAGTTTTGAGGCTCAATAATATGGAATTAGAGGATGCTTTGAAGAACACCATCAAGTGGAAGACGATCTGGAAGTTTATGTTCTATGTTGTTTTATTTGTTTTAGTAATCAAATTATTGTAAAAGAATTCAAGTTGTTGTGAGAGGTTGAAGTATTTTGTTCTTTGTTTTAGTGTTTAAGTTGTAGTAAAACTTGCATTATTCAAAGTTGTCAAGTTAGTTGCGTATTTTTGTTACATGATTTAGTTGGACAAGTTAAAATTGCATTGTAGTAAAATCTGTGTTCTGTTGTTATAAGATTTATTTTGAAAAGTTAAATAACAGAATTTTGGTATAACAGAAATTTGATCAACATAAACCTTGTTCAAATTTGAGAACATAACATAAACCTTGTTCAAAATACCATAACATGACATTGTTACAAACACTTGTTCAAAATACCATAACATGGCATTGTTACAAACACTTGTTCAAAATAACATAAACATAGTTCAAATGGAACATAACATAAACCTTGTTCAAAATACCATAACACGGAATTGTTACGGACACTTGATATTAGCATAAGTTGTCACAGACACTTCAAAACAACATAACCTAAACATTTCAAAACAACATAATATCAACCATCTTCTTAAAACAGAAACTACATAAATATAAATGGGCTTCTTTGTGTTGTTTCTTTTGGTAGGAGTGGTCCTCCTAGTTGTAGGTCCCACTGCATTTTGTGATGCACGTAGTCCGATGGTTAGTCCCTGTGAAACAGAAGCCATTGTAACAGATGTTTGTCTTGGTTTCCTAAAAGGCAACTTTTGTGGCCTTGCTTGTGTTGGTGTTGCCCTAGGCTGACTTGCTTGAGTTGGGGTTGCCCTTGGCTGATTTCCTTGATTTGGTGCTGGTGTTGTCCTTGGTTGAGTTCCTTAAGTTGTGGTTGGTGTCGCCCTTGTCTTTTTTCCTTGAGTTGTGGTTGGTGTTCCCAACTCCCATTTATAATGAGCCATATCTTTCAATAACTTAAAAATGGGATACTTCTTCTTCCTTGATTCATCATTCTCCTCACTATTACATCCATTATCTAACTCCTCGCTATCATATAAACTCTCGTTCTCCTCTCCACTGTCTCCTTCCCATTTCTTTTTCTTCTTTTTACTTGTTTCTTCATGGTTTCCATCATATTCAACAAGATTGTCTAAGTGTTCTTCAGAATAATCCACACTCATACTAGAATCACTAAATGTAACTTCCAAAGCACTATCATAATTGTAACTCTCATCCTCACTGTCATCAGAGCGTGTAACCTCATTCAACAAACCAGTATTAATATCTATAACATCATGAACCTCACCATCATTGTTCACACTCTCACCTACATTCATATGCTTAACACCATTATTGTTCACACCTTCACCTACATTCATACCCTCAATATCATTATTGTTCACAACCTCACCATCAGTACCTACATTTGTATCCTTTATGACTTCTTCATAAAGATCTTCAAGGATGGATTCTACCTCCAGATTAACCATATTTAATGGTTCTTCATCTATGACTTCTTCCTCCATCATGTTTATAGGATTTTCAACATATTCTGGTTGAGATAACATATGTTCTATGTAAATGTCAACTTTCAAATGTACCCTACAGAGGACAACTACCTCTAACGCACCCTTATTATCCTTAAGAACATTCGTTCCAAATGTGGGGTCATTATAATATATAGCGTCTACCTCAGTGTAACCTAGATCTTTCAGAACACCAACCAATTCAAAGTATGACCACCTATCCACATTTATCTCTAAATCATTACATTTACCCCCTACACATAATCGATTTTTTCAGAGTCCACAAACCCACCACTATGATGAATTTTCAAACACAAAATTTCTTCCATTTCTACCTAAGACAATAAAATGCAACATTACATACAAGAAAACGCAACATAATAGCAGATTTCAAAAGGGGCAAAAAACCCTAGATACCTAATTAGATCAAGAAAACGCAACATTTAGACACATTCATAGTACATAAGGATGTGTAAACTAACCGCCGTCTATGTTGCGTCTTCGTCTTCCTCAGCTTGCTTCTTCTCTCTTCGTGCTCTTCGTTGTTCTCACTTGCTTCTTTCTGCTTCTTTGTCTGCTAGGGCTTTCTATTTCAACACATGTTTTAATCAATGAAAATGCTAATATCATGCTACTTCAGATGACACCTCAGCAAGGCCAATACTCATCATGCCACATAACCAAACCATTCATTACACCTCAGCAATAACTTAACACGTCATCCAAGTTTTTGATAATAATATAACGTTTCTAACAGACAGAACTAACGTGATACCATTTTAATAATGTAAGGGACCAACTTGGAACTTTAAAAAGAAAATGAACTAAAATGGACCCCGAGTAATAGGTAGAGGACCAAAAAGGGTATTAAACCAATATTTAATCTATTGATAAATCAATTTTCATGAAAAACATAAGGCTTAAGGTTGTCTTTTAAGACTTCATACAGTCAAACACATCTGGATCGTTTGATCGAGATGAGACATTTAAAATTTTAATTTAAGTTTTTAAGTTTTTTATAAATAAAAATTTATTTTACAGTTTGGATTATGTGATCGTGATTGTATTAGATATGGGTGTTTAAAAATCAAATCAATTGAATAAAAAACCGTTAATCGAATTAAATTAACTCGAAAGCAGTAAGAAATCACATTTGATTCATATGTGTTTAGTGCATTTTTTAAAAGAACCGTGTGGTTCGGTTTCTAGATTGTACTTTACAAACAGAACTGAACCAAACCAAATTGCATTATGTTACCACTCAAACAATTTCCTCTTCCTCACACTTAGGGTTTCAATTTCAGCTTTCTCAAATCTTTCCTAGTAGTATCACATTTTTTTTCATCTTCTTTGTCAGGTACATCTCGCATCTTCTTCTCTAACGCTCATCTTTATGTTCTTTCTTTTTCATCTTCTCATTTTTATGCTATTGCTCTCTCTAACAATTTCATTCTTATCGTGTCTCTTCTTCTCTAATCTCTCTTTTCTTTTCTTTTTTTCATCTTCTCTAATCTCTCCTCTACTCTTCTTTTTTTCCAGTTTCATTATAATGTTTTTGATACTATTTTATGCTATTGTTTTATGTTTTTTATTCCACTTTTGTCTAATATGATTTTTGTATATTAAATGACAAGTTACTGTTCAAATATGATGAGTTTTGTTGTCAGTTGGTAATGTATGTATGACTAAAAACCGAGTTATATTGTCTTCCATATGTGCATGTATGACTTAATAAAAATACTATACAAAATTGAACCAACCTAAACCGCATTGGTTTGATTTGGTTTAGTTTGGTTGTATTTCTAAAAGTCAACCAAATCAAATTGAATCATACATTTTTTTCTCTCGCAATTTGAATGGCTTTTAGCGTCAAAACCACACCGTAAACACACCCTTAATACTAGATGCATGTTGGTCAATAAAAATCTAAATTAAAGATATAAATCAATAAAAATATTTAAAATAAATCTATAAGAAGTATATTCTTAATAGGCATATGAAAAGAACATATCATGTTAATATTTATGTGGCTCGACATGTTACTTGTTCGATGAAATTTTGTTAAATAGTAATCTTTTGAATGTTAATGAATGTGATGTCGTGTATAATTTTGAATAAATTTTGGTGTATGCTAAATTCATGAAAGACCTACTCACTAGAAACATACATTAACTAAAGAGTGTAATGCTATCATCCCAAGAAAGCTTCCACCCAAACTCAAAGATCCATGACGATTCACTATCTTATAAACCATTGGCCAATTAAACATTGTGAACACACTTTATGATTTAGGAGTAAGCATCAGCCTAATGCCTCTATTTATGATGAAAAAACATGACTGTGGGGGAACAAAAGCCTACTCAGATGACTCTTGCTTTGACAAATAAATCCATCACATATTTGAATGGAGTCTTAGAAGATGTGTTAGTCAAAGTAGATTATTTACTATTTCCTGTATATTTTAAGATCTTAGACACGTCAGAAGACGTAGATACACCATTATTTCTTGGAAGACCTTTTCTTGAAA